CTGTTGTTGCTGTTGCAGTTCATGTTGATGATAATGATGATAGCCGTGGTTGTACAAGTGTTGTTGCTGCTGCTGAAGACAATGGTGCTGTTGCCCACGCCGAATTTGCAACTGACGAGCGGCTGCAGCCGACTGATTTGCAGCCATTTGATTCGCGGCTAGTTGGCCGAGAAAAAGACACGCTGCAGTGGCCACTGAGGCTGCTCCACTGGCACCACCGCAGCGAACGGATCCAGGCGCGTTTGATAAGGCAGTAGGCTTAATTCCTGCTGAACGAATAAGCTCAGTCAATGGAAGAATGAGACGTGCAAGGCATGCCTCATCAACGAGTCGTATGCACTACAAAAAGAGAAAAAATGAATCAACGTACAACGGATATGATTTGGCTAAGGTTTGTAGTGAATCAAGAATATGCATTATAACTACATGCTTGGCTTCTCGCCACCCTATTGAATACGCCAGTATTGTATAAAGGAACAAGAAAACGAGTCATGAAGTGCTTTGTATAAAAGACGGAAAGTTACAGACGAGGATCCTGAAGTGTGAAAGACACAGACGTCAGAGTATGTCGTTGGCGCAAGAGGGCAGGGCAGGGAGTAACCTAAAGAGTGAACGACTAAGTCAAACATTATAGGGACAAGGACATTAAAAATGAAAAAAGAAATTAAGATAAAAGCAAGCAAGAATTCGATATACAAATGCTCCAAAATTGACATAGGATATAGGTAATCATTGGTTAGAAAGAAAATAAAAATATGGAAATTTCTAACTAACTTCTGCGGGATTGTTAAGGTAAAAGGGAGATAATTTTGCCCACGAAAAAATGTTACAGAATGCTGAACAACTGAAAATAATAACATAAGCCCCAAGTTATTAATTCAGATACACGATTACATCCCTAACAAAAAAGATTCTTTGGATTATAGACATTCCTTCCTCTAATAATGGAAAATGTGGCAATAAAAATGGACAAGTTTCCTCGAGTTCATTTCTAAATGCAGTGTTTGCAAAATATATCGATGAGACCTAAAATATATCTGTTTCTGTGTAAGTTTCATATACAAAGACACGAAATAGTGGAATTTATAAAGACCGATATATCATTAAAAGAGCCAAAGCTAAAACTAATGAAATCGAAATGAAAAAAAGATAACTAAGATCGAAACAAAAGAGTATGATTCAAAAAGGATTAATGCAATATTAACAATCGATATACAACTTGTAATAGTAAGTACATATTCTAGTCAACTATATATCACTTACAAGCCGCAGAACCTCGGCCATCTGTTCTTCTTTGCTAACATCTTTTGCGATCACAAGGCCTGCAAGGGCATCCATTGAAGTCTGTCGGGCCTGTTCCCCAGCATCAGAAAGTGTGCCGATAGCTATACTAGATGCAGACAAACCGGTCGAGGTGTGTGGCAAAACCATAGCTGAAGACGAAGAAGCTGCAATTCTTCGTGTATCAGATTGTTTTAGTAAACCGGGAAGTCTTGATGCAGGTAATCCGGCCATCGCCATGAGGCCTGCCAGGATAAGTTGGGGGAGAGCAGGACGGAGTGCAGAAGCACGAGCAGCTCTTGCAGCAGCAACAAGTAAATCAAGAGCCAGACGGCTTGACTCAGAAGTCGCGGTGCTGGGTGACGGAGAAGAGGAAAGTGTGTGTTCGATAAGAACTGGTAGTAGTCCAGGGAGAAGACCAGTGGCAGCCTCTCTATAGCATGGATTCTCAAGGACGCGAATCACCAACTGGAGCGAAATAAATCAAATTGGATGGCTATTTTATTTCCATATTTGTTGCACTAGTGATACAATAAATAATCGCCGAACAAGTAGTCAAGCGTAAGTTTCCTTTAAAGATACATTAACAAGATAAATTTATGTAAAAAAAATAAACTAATCGATATAGC